CGTGTTTTTCTCAGAAATTCAATGAGTAGTTTCACATCCCTCGTTATCTTGGCTCTTCTATTTTCTTTTTCTGCGTGATAATACAGTCGATAATTGATCTTTCTGAATACCCAAATCTCGTGGATCCCTGAGCCATTGTTTAAAGTACAAGTATTTTTTTTTCCTCTGGTACGAAAGTTTCCTCGGTATGGAGGCTTGCGCGCAAGGAACTAGAGGTTGTTGAATGAAATCAGTGATATGTTTTGACAACTCTCGCCTGATTGGACGAAACGCATTATATGGACGTCTGAGAAAGCCATTTCGCTGCTGTGATATATGCTGTCAGAAATGTTTTAGCGGGTTTCTCATGAAGAAAAATGTGAATAAATCTCAGGATGTATATAATAAACAAGCTTACTAATCTCGTTCAAAATGCGATAGAAATCGCTTGGTACATATTTTAATGATTAAACATGTCTTCTCATTTTGTTTACCACAGGTACCCACCGACCGTGGCCAGAATCCTAATTATGCGCAAGCCTCAAGCGCTTGTTCCCACACCTATACACCACTAGAGAGAAATTTACCACAGGTGCCTACCAACAGCGGCCAGAATACTGATTATGCACAAGCCTCAAGCGCTTGTTCCCACACCTATGCACCACTGGAGAAAAATTTACCAAAGGCACCTATCGACAGTGGCCCGAATCCTGAATATGCACAAGCGTCAAGTGCTTGGTCCGACGTCTATGCATCGCTAGAGAGAAATAAGGAGGGAGAACAGCAATAAGTCAATCCGAAAAGACTCCGAAATACGCAAATATGTATACGCCTCTCACCGGTGCCCGCAATCCTATCATGTCGGCCGGCAATCCTAGGAAAGATAAAGAAAATGAAGGCGACGGTCAACACATTATTAAAACACAGGCTTTTAGGCCGGGTTTCCCGGAAAACGATGAAATTTAAAGGATTTGGCCAACCGTTTCTACCGAAAGTAATTCTTGCCTTTCCCAATGAAAAGGCCGTTTAAAAATTTCACCAGCCTAAAAGTAATCAAGCCAAATTCTCGCTCTAAACATTATCCCTTTTAATCGCTCCCCAAATTCCTCAGATTCTCATTCACTCAAATGAATACACGAAACTGAACTGGACATGATGATTTTCTGTCCTACTATCTTTGCTTCAATGGAAGTACACAAAGACCCTGCACGCTGTACATAGGAAGATAATTACGATAAGAATAGATCAATAATAATAATAATAAGAGTCTTTATTCATTATCCATGGTCAGGTAGTCACAACATACGTGTGACTTTACAAACATGACAACACAATCTATCGATTAATTTAAGATCAAGTACAATTAAATAAAATAAAAAAGACACCTATTAATAAAGGATCTCTTAAAACGTTCTGTTTTAACGGTAGGTAAAATAAAATCATGTCCTCTCTTTCGCAAAAAATCTCTTCTTCTTAGGAGGTAATATTTGATGAAGGGGTGGGAAGGAGTATCTGTGATAATGTTCCATAGTTTGTAATCTCGATTTCTTATAACTTCAGCTATTACGTACGGTTGTTGGTATAACCAAACCTAAACGCTCCGGCTTAAAAAACCTATCAATGCGATCAAGGTATTTACCTTGAAATGCCACTCCCCAAATCTCAATTCCATATAAAAACAGGGACATAGTTAAGAGATCAAATAATTTAGTCAATTACTCTTAAGGATATCGAAAATATTTACAAACGAGTAGAATATATAAACGACTACTAGCTTTGCGTGGCAAATTGTCAACATGAAGGTCCCAGTCCGATTGATTTTCCTAGAAAATTATGCCAAGCAATTTCAACCAGTTTTTCCCTTCAATCCCCTGTACTATGCACCACCATCTCCCAGGTCTTAGTGAGGTTTAGTATCATACGGTTTCTTACCGCCCAGTGTTGAATGCTGTCAACCTCAATAAGAGAGTGATCTTCATGTGCGGACACAGGTACACTTAGTGTAAGATCGTCAGCATATTTGAGCAATAAATTGCGCTTCGGGTAAACTGGTCTTATATCGTTTACCATAACAGACAACAATATAAGCCCGAGGACCTTACCTTGAGGTACCCGTCTGTTAATGCTGACAAATTCCGTGACAAAGCCGTCCACGACTACTCTCTGTTTCCTATTGTTAAGAAAGCTAACAATCCAATTAAAAACATAAGGATTAATATTAAGTGACATTAACTTATTGCTAAGAATAGCATGTGAAACACTGTCAAAAGCCTCACTGAAATCAAAGGAGATCCGGAACTGTGACACGCACGTGTCTGTTATAAATCTGAAATATATGCTATATAAAGCAGATGAATAAGTAAATAGATGGAGAATTTTTGAGAAAACTTATCCCTCATCACATAAAATAGAGGTCACTTAGCTTACAATAAGAGAGGAGGTAGTGTGACTTTGTTCTGTTGACATCATTTACCATTGGACCTGACCAAGTAATTGATTAAATTCACAATCGCGTCTTCACGTAGTACATTGATAATATATAGATGAAGTCAAGCCTATAAGCAGAGCTTCAGTTACTTTATTTTCCAGCCCTTCACTTCACTAAAACCCTTCAGCACTGGCTGTCGAAGAGTTTAATCAAGGGGATCTAGGGACTAGGCGGGGGGAAATGGACGGGGTCTGGAGCCGAGGGACGTTGTTCTCACAACTTACAAGGTGATCAACACGCCTGCTATTCATCGGTATTTGCAAGCAGCTAAAGATCTTCGTTACTATTCGTGATGCTTTGAACGCATTTTCGAGGATAGGGAATTTAGCGTTTTATATTAGTTTCAGTTGAAATGATATTCTATAAGAGGTGACTGATAACTTCGGTTAAAGAAAACCTGCCAAAATTGAAAGAAACAACGATAAAAGACTTCGAGTTAAGTTATCACCGGTCGATTGAAGGGTATACACAGGAGAACAGCGAGACAGTGAGAAAGTACGCCGGAATCATATGGGCTCAGTGTTAAACATCTTCTCTTGATGTCGTTAGGTATGACTACTTGCTCATCGACGATTTTTCTCCATCGTTTTAGCCTCCTCTAATAAGCGATGAAAATAAAAAAGAAAAGTCATTTCAACGCGTGTTTAAACCTGTTATTCTTTAAATTCTCTTTAGAGTATTCGCGTTTCACGATTGTCCTCTGAGTGGAAATACACGGCTTCGTTATTAAGTTTTTTTCTGTTAAATAATTCAGTATTCTTTGCTGTAACTGCATATAATGTCAGCGTCTTGAAACCAACTGTCCATGATAATGGCAACTCTAGTTACTGGAATACGTAATTTGTCTAGCATCTGTTTCTTGCGCCGCGAAAGTCTGATTTAAACGAAGATAAGCTAGAGCTAGAGTGAAGAGGCGATGGGCTAGTCCGCATCAATCCAAAACGTTCACTCAGCATTCGATTTAACTTCTCTGTAACACGTACGAGAAGAAGTAAATTCCTAATGACCAAAAAAAACACTTTTTCAAAAATATACTAACATATAGGATGAGAAATGAATGCAAAGATTCCAGGAAACATAACTTACCAAATTCTATTTTCCAATGGGTGTACGGTGCTGACGTGAGCAAATGTATCTCAGTAATCAAATGCTACACAAGAAATGTTTTTTATCCTATAACAAAAAAATGGTAAACACCACAGCGTACACCTTAGAGTTATGGATGCACTTGAGAGGTTTGCTAAGCAGTTCTATACTACATGTAGAGTCGCTCGAGAGGTTTGCTAAGTACTCAAGAAGCTAGAGTCGCTCTCAGCAATGCTTAGCAACCTTCCACGTGCATCATAACTCAATACTGTACGCTGTGGTGTTTATCATTTGTTACTAGTAATTCAACTGTTGCCTCTTTTTTTCAGAGTTATATCAACATAAAAGACTGCCTTTAAACTTACCAAAGAAGGAGTAGCACATCGAACTAGTTTACATAAGATTGAATATAAAGGGAACATGAACTGGGATATATAAGGTGGACATGTGTCGTCTCGTGACCACCAGCGAACCACCTCTGGTACCATTCAAAGAACCTCCTTGCGCACCGCAATAAAATCTTGATTATGGACAAAAGTTAACTAGACGGGAAATCCGTACCACTTCGAATACAAAGCACAATGACAGTGAACAGTGGACATGCGTTATGATTTTGTTAGAGTTCTATGGCTCTAGAAAAAAGAAAAAAACTTGGCTTAATCTGGTCCCTGTCACCATGCGAAAAAAAAGCGGGCAGTACGAGTTTGATTTGAAATCAAAAGTATAATTTCGGACCAAAATTGCATACAAAGTTCAATTACCACTTTTTTTATAATGTATTCAAAGTAAAGATCTAGGATCGACATATGAATACTGCTTCTTCTATGATCTATAAAAGTTTAATCTATAAATTGACAACCTAATGAGTATTGCATCATTTTCCTAGATTTTCATGAGACTATAAATGGAGTGTTAGATATTTTTAGTTTATAATCAATCTATTCCTTAAAGGGCCAGAACTGAAATAGCTGAGACTCATTACAATTTCACAACTTTTTGACTTGATGCCGAAATCCCTCATCTTGAATAAAACGATTTTATCTCAAGAACTTCAAAATAAATTGGCTACTATGAAAAACTCTGCAATCATTGACTCTACCGGTGTCTAACGAAAATTCTGAAAGCTTTCTCTTACTGACCCTCTAGGCTCAACACAATGCAAAGTCCAGTCCCATTCTTTTAGAAGACATGCTCTGGTCTGGATTTTTCAGCTTTTCTGCGAAAGCTTTGCAGCGAGAAAGAGAAAGAGAAAGCCTTAAGCACTCTAAACGACAAACGTGTCTAGTTACAATGATAAGGTTGAGAACGGACGTCAGCATTATCAGGCGCCTCTGGCAGCCGCTTCAGTCCATGTAACGATCTCACCTTCCCGCCCATCCCACTCTAGGGGAGGACATCAACCACACAGTAATCTCGTGCGTGGGAAATTAACGTCTCCTACCCCTAACCATGCAGGAGACGGGGCCTACGGTTTATTCGTCCTTATCCGAGAAGACTAGATTATCTATCCATTTCTTGATACTGTATTAGAGAAAGGTATTAAATTCTCCTCAGTTATTTTAAGTCCATGAGTATTGGTCCGGCCCCCTGGTCCCGAACCCTCGACCTCCCCCACAACAATCCGGCGCTCTATCCAATTGAGCTAAACAGGAGGCGCTCTCGCTCTTTCTCTTTCTCTCTGATAGATCGACTTCTACGCTATAATCGCACGCCTTCTCCTCTCCATTTCTATTGCGTTTACTTTTACCCCTTGTTTTATTTCATAGTGTAAAATATTACCATAAAACCGTATCAAATTGATAACTATCCTAAGTATTTTCAAATTCAAGTTCCTGTATCCTGTCGGGATGTTCTAAGTCCACGCTTTTCCTCTTCGTCTTGAACATCGTTCTTTCGAAGAGCAATCAGGTTCCAACTGTTGTTTTTGTCTTTGTGAAGCTTTCTTCTTCTTATGATCAAAACTATCATTGCAGTAGCAAGAATTAAAGCTAAAGTTCCTAGAATCCATGCCAGGGCTTTAATATAAACAACGAGGTCGTGATGCTCTGACGCTGTTGAGTTTAAAAAGGAAAAGAGAACTCCATCAACAATGTAAGTGTTGAAATTGAAAGACATTGGAAACCGTTTAGCACAGTAATTGTTTCACGTTAAAACCTCTTCTAAGCATCCCCGTTTAAAGCCTCAAGGCGGGTGCACACAAATCAGATATCTTCGCAGGCTACGCAAGGGGTGGAGTAACTGAAAATCAACATGTTTATCTTACGAGTGGTAGATTGTCATGAAAGGTCCAACATGACAATCCAAACAATAAAGCGCGTTCGAGAAATGGAACTAGAACTGCAAGCTTCCTTATATGACTCTATGGTGTCATGTGTTAGCCTCACCAAAAAGCACAAAATTCCTACACTCACTTTTATTTTGCTCCTGTCGACTAACAGGCCCCAGTGATAAAAACACCTCTTCGTCCATGATAAAGGCTTTGTTTTCTCGCCTGCGTCTTCCGTTTTTTCTACATCCTCTCTCACAGACCGAATCCGTATCCGACTCTCTACAAGTTACTACTTGACAATGCACGTAAAGTCTTTCCGAGACGACACCGCGGAATTGAAAGGCTTTAAAGGTGAAATTTTGTATTGGAGATTTTTTGTAATCATACTGCAAAGTTGAGTCACGGGAACACCTGAAAATTAAAAATAAAGGTTGAAAGCAAATTGTGTTTAACTTGTCTTTGCCATAAGGTAAGTGAGCACTGTAGAGCCATTACGAAATGTTGTTGCTCCTGTAGTTTATTTTTTTGTACATTTTATTTAGGCTTTCTTTCCATCATTTTTCACGATATTTCAGCCTTTGCTTTTCCCTATCCGTGCTGACGACTTCAGATCCTGAGTTTATTCGTCATAAGATTTTTACTCGCTCATATTCCGTAAATACTAGGATGCAGCAAATCCCGCCTCGTGGTTACAATGGACAGTTATTGATGTTTTCGATTAAATCAAATCATCATTTAAACATACCCATGTTGGATTATCGTATGCCTAGTCTTGTCTCCAGGATCTGTCGATGGTGTGACCCAGCATTCTTCCAGGAAAGTTAGAAGGTTCCGATCAAGTGCTCTGACTTTGACCTGAAAGTACATTGGTTGGCCAGGATACACGACTGCAGGGTATTGTTTGACCTCCAGATTGTACTTTGGATCTTCGAACATATTCATTGCAAAGGTGAAGTTACCAACACCATCACCTACAATGAATGAAACTGACACTTCAAAGGGGTTTTATCAAATTATATATGTATGTTTGTAGTTATATATCTTGTGTACGCAAACAGGCAAACTTGATCGAAATGGCAATCTCTTTGATTCCACACCCTAAGTGGCCAGGGTATATTAATTTTATGTTGACTAGTAATAAATCTTAAAGACTAGACATCACTTACTGCTTGGGGACGAGAGAGGATACTGAGGGGGGATCACGTGTTTTTAAGGGGGGGACGAACGGAGGGGGGATTAATCGTCGCTAACAGAGTATAGAGGGGGGACTATATAAGTCTACCGCCACTGAAGGGAATAATCAGAATGGGCGATAAATAGTGATCGGTCCCTAATGCTGTTTTCTCAATCCAATATTTCAGGTTCGAACAAAGATATGTATAATACACACTTACCATCTTTAAGGTAGATAACCTTGCTACTTGTGGAATATGAGACAATGGAAAGGACTTGTAGCTTTCTAAACGAACATTGGAACTCAAACTTAACTGTCCCATCCCTGGTAATTGAAGAGTTTGAATTGGAAGACTTTTCATCTCCTGTCATAGTGTTCTGATAGATTAAGTAATCTGATGTTTCATTATGCTGAGTTCCACATTCCTCCAGCGGAGCACTCAATATGGCAAGCGTGTCATTGACGAAAAAGACCTTGCATGAGGGATCATTCAAGCGGACTGACTTTATGTCAAGATATGGAAGCAGGATTCTTGATATAGTCACCTTCATGCCGAACTGAGAACATTTTACTGCCAAGCCTAAGCAATCAAAACGATTTGCTAATGTTAGCCTTGCCAGTGGTAAGATAATATGTCAAGGAGCGAGACTCGTTGTAGGGAAAAGCTGAAATAAAGTAAAAGCTAAGGATAGAGCTTGTTAGAATCAAAGAGGGCTTGTTAGTTAGTT